ATAAATATATATATTTCTATTTTTAATATTTTTTTTTTTTGTTATATCTATATTTATATCCAAATAATATTATATTTATATTTATATCCATATAAATTCTTATAATAATATATTTATTGATAATTTGTGTTTATCACGGAACGATTTATACCCATTTTTTTTATTTATATCTATATATTTTTATATAATGATATATACATATCTAAATATGTATATAAATATATTAAAATAATAAAAAATAATTAATATATTTATATTAATTTATTAAAATTATATTGTTGGTGGATTAGAAAATAATATTATTAATATATGATAAATGAATAAAATTATTATTTTGGAATTATGAATTTGGATTTTTATATGTTATTTTATTTATATCTTTAATATGTGTATTAAAATATTTTTATATTTATTATTTTTAATATTATTATTTTATTATTGATATTTCTTATTATTAATTATTTATGTTATATTATTTATTTAATTGTTATTTTATTATTCTTTAAATTAAAATATAATATATTAATATATATTATATCATTATATATATATATTATAATATAATTATTATATTTCAATATATTTATTTATATTAATAAATATAATGATATTTTTTACCCCAATTATAATAATAATTATTACCACAACTACAACTATATTACACTACACCACACTAATTTCACTATAACACACGACTACAACTACAAATACAATTATAAATATAATTAGAACCACACTATATTACACAACACTACTCTACACTGATTATATTACATTACACTACAACTACAATTCTAATTCCAATTATAATTATAATTAGATTATATTTTACTACACTATATTATATATACTACACTGCACTACACTACACTGTACTGCACTATATTATACTACACTACATTACATTCCTTTCATTACAATACACTAATTACACTACACTACACTACAACTATAATTATATTGCACTAATTACGCTATACTATTATATATTATAATATATAAAATAATATATTAATATAATATATATATAATTTATTAATAAGAATTTAATTAATAAAATATTTAAGAAAAATAAAATATTAATGTATAATAAAATAATTTGGATTACATATATTTATCGGAAAAATTGGGATCAATTTTCATATTAATTTAATTATTTATTTCCAATTCAGATATTTTATTTCATCCATAATTACACCAGAAAATTAATCGCAAAATTGTGGCCCAAATTTGTTCCCGAAACCTATTCTCCAAAATTAATTCCCGAAATCACGCCAAAATGAAGGCTGTCCCCAAAAATTATTCCCAAAAATACTCCTGAAAATAACTCCACAAAATTATTCCTTTTTCAAAACAAACCATATTCAAAGCTATTCCGGAAAATTAGCCAAATCGCTCTCCAA